TTTTCTGCGGCGGCTTCTTCGTCTGCTACTACTGCGACGGCTGCGCGTTCTTCTTCTGTAGTTTATTGGCGGTTTTCATGCCAGATTGAGGTACATTACCGCCTCTGGAGGTGCTTATACCATCATACATAACTAGATCCTACAACACCTATATCTGTTAAAGAACAAATAACAAATTTATGAATTTATGTACAATTGCTACCCAATCGACTTATAATTAATGTTTATTCTTTTAAGTGACTCTGTCATTCAAGCAAGTTGCCCATTATTCGCATGGCATAGGAACAAGATATGCTCTACTGTCTCAGCTTGACTACAGTGTTCACAGTGACCTGTATGGTGTTTGCCTATTTTATGGAAGGTATAATTTCAACCTGTATGACCATTTATCAATCAAGTTATTACTATTTCTTCTTTCCTAGTTCCAATCTATGCCTGCTGACACCCAACTTTTTTTATTCTTATATGTATCTACCAGTTTCTCAACAGTCCCACTGTTCTTGCCAAATTTTGTGAATATGGACATTAATCAAGGATTTCATTTCAAATCTACTTTTTGGAATATGCTTGGTAACTGCATCAGATATTAAAGACGGCTTAGCAGCAGCGTCAGGCTCTTCAATGTTGTCAGGTTCCACATGGGCTGGCACCCACAAGAAGCTAATTGTTAAATCCTTCCTATTCAGTCTCCATAGGGACACTAATATCTTTTTAAATATGTCTTGTCTGGTTTCATATAGGCCTGACTTGATACTACTGAGAGCCAAAGAATTTTCAGAACATATTAATCCTATATTAACTTTACCACTCTTTTAAACTGGCACAAGCACACACATCTAGATGGTTTTTAAGATATTAAAAAAGTAAAACAAAAAAAATCATAGACATGTCTTTGGATGCCTATATACTGACACACACACACTCACACTGAGAATAATAAGATTTAGTTCTATGTATTTTGTTATACAACTAAACAATTTTATCACACTGACTAACACCTTAATATTATGTGGTTATGTGTTCCCCAAACATTAGCCGTTATGAGATAAGTTGGATGATTTGTAATTGTAAGCAATTGATACCAGATGTGGGAGGTATTATGAGCTTTTTAAATTCATTTAGTTATTAGTTAATTCATTTTTCATTAATATTAACAGACTATTTGCACATGAAGCCAGGAGGGCCCAGATGTGATGCTCTCTAATTTAGAACAAATTTTCTGTGTCCAGTTTCCTACTCTTGTCAACAGAGATTAAATATAATGCTGTTAAAATGTAATTGAATCTTCTTAGCCAATTGGTGAAAAAGCACACTCTGTCATTAATCAGCAACAATGATAAAGACTCATACATGTTCAAAAGATGAGATAGAAGCTGAACTTTGTCCCTCCACATATGAGGCTGCCCCTGTGTCTGGCTCAAAGTTCAGGTCACTCACACAGTTTCAGTATTGCCTCTGCAAGTGTGTTTGAGTCCCTGAAGTCCAACTCTGTTCATACTGAGCTGTCTGAGCCACAGGATGACCCGCTGGACCCTTCTCGCTCAGCTCCTGCTCCTGCTCAGCCTGTTCATCCACAGTGCTGTCAGTCAGGAGGTTGAGGACTCAGCAGCAACAGCAACACCACCACCACCACCAGGTCAGGCCTCTGATGGCACACAGGAGGACAAGGACGACGAGTGGGGAATGAACTCGCTCAGAGGTAGCTTTGAGGCTGTCGGCGGCTACTTTGACTCATTGCTGGAGTTCATGGGTGGACGTGACGGGGTGTGCCAGTACCGTTGTAGATATGGTAAGTCGGTTAAGTAGACAAGCGGTTAAAAAATACTAATATTTACTTTTTACCAGTCAGAATGGTACAACGCTGATATATTGTTTTGGTTCCTTGTAAAATAATATTGTACAATTTGTTCTGAATTGCAAGTAACACAGATTCCATGCAGTGGGAAAAATCTGTATACCTACGTATTACTTTTATATGTGGGAAAGGTTTAGGTGTCCTGTGGTCCAGGTGATGCTGTTTCCAAGCCCAAAATTTCTATATTTATAAATATACTGGCATTTTATATATATA